ATGTTTATGCAAGTTTATTTTTATCGCTTTACAGTGTAATAAATTGACAACTTGAGATTTTGGACAGACACGTCGACAGGGAGACATTATTTATATGAGCCAACAATTGCAAGCATTACTAGTTTGATGCTCGTTGCGATTTTAACTGTGATTGATAACTGTGATTTTGGAACACATTTTAGGATATGTCATAGTCGGCTTAGAAAACGAAGCAAAGCCAATGGGTCTGGTGGTGAACGAGGACAGAATAAGTATCTTCCGTTATCAAACTAAGGATCTCAACAATTGGGGGACCATGTGACTATTGACAGTTATAAATACGAGTTAATAAAAGAATTCCTCTATCTATCTGAGATCCAGCAGTAAGTAATATTTCTAACAACAACGTCAGCCAAGAAATCAATCGAAGAATCTCTCTTACCAAAAGGTGCTATCATGGACTCAGTAGGCAATTCGAAAGTAGAGCTCTCTAAAGCAAAACCATACTAACGCTCTATAAGTCACTCATAATTTCCGTGCTGTTGTATAAGACGGAAGCATGGACGATAACGAGCGTGAGCGAAGGGGAGTACCGGTTTTGATGGAATTATGGGGTGTAACATATGTGCTCTGCGGCAATATGAACATAGTAGGGAATATAAAAATATAACAGCTGCTCTGGCTTCACCATGTTGTCGGTGCCCTTGGTAGCCAACAAAGAAGACGACGACCTAAACCCAGATGAAGAGTCAAGTAAAAATTTGAATTCTCCAACTGACGACATTTGGGACAATACAAAGACAACTGGCGAAGGCTTAATGATGCAGCCAAAACTACCACTAAGTTGTGATGAAAACTTACTGATGGTGATGATTTGTGATAACCTAAAGTGTCTGCTCTATTTTAAATCACCGGATCATCTCAAAGATTGAAGTCTACCTGAGGTAAATGTAATTATGCTTTCTACACACACGTATAAAGCTCATAGAAAAAATTTTAACCAAGCTTCGTAATAATCTAAGTTAAAAAAATCAAAAATTCTTGGAATAAACAAGAAGAGCGCTACTATAAAATGTTTGTAACTTTTTAGCTTCAACTGCATTCAAGGTTCTTTTTGGACTTTCTAGTATATTCTCCGTTTCGAAGAGAGACTTTGTCATCATGATTTCTGAATTCCTCAACTGCAAGACATCCCTGTTCCTCAGGTTTTTGATTAACTTAAACAAGAGCTAAAAGAGCGTCTAAGCCATTTGATACCAGGGAGGAACAGTCAAGCAACTATTTCCAAAAATATTCTAAAACGAGGTTATTGATTCAAGCTGGAAAAAAAGCCAATTACCAACCAATTTAAATTAGTAATACGTATACTCGGTATAAAGACTATGAATAGCATCAACTGATATTCAACACTTTTGCTGCCGAACTACATTAAGTTAAATGTAGTATTCTCACTAAGTGAAGATACGATAGTTTAGCTGATCATCACATTCTGTTTGATAATAACCGTTAAAAGACCAAGAGATTATTCAATTTTTTTTGGAATTTTTTCTATTCAAAATCACTATAACCACCACAGCTATTTTATTTTAAAGCAGATCCATACTTCTGCATAATATATTCAATTCAAAACAATACTTTTTGACCAATCTAATTCGACGTTGGATTTCATGACTTAAATTCCGTACCGAAATCATTCACTGAACTACGTTATCCTATGAGAAAAGAAGAAATAATGCTCGATGAAAGCAGCAGACCAAAGCAATTATGCCTCGTCTAGAAAGTCTGAATTATATAAAAAAGTGACTTTTGAACGGTTGAAGGCACAAGGTCAGCAAGTATAATATTTTTGAATAATTTGTATTCATTTTGTGCATTATAAACACAACGGAAGTTACTTTCTCCAGCTTTAATCACAACAAACCGCTGACAAACTGGGTTTACTAAAACTTTGCGCTGACTAAATTCCACTCGCATCACTTAGCATAAGCAACTTGCTTTCACCAGCAACACTGTCATCCAATGCAGATTCTAAGAATACTAAGTTCCGAGTTCCGAGTGTGGCAAATGGTGGCCATGAGCTAAATGCATGTCGTCATAGAAAAACGCTGCAGAGCGCATAAGGCACGGTACATAATTCACGCTACTTAGAAGCGAATGGCAGCTGCGCTACGCTTTTTGGCATAAGTTGTGTCAACATATGCGCTGCTATGCTGTGTTTATCATAGACAAGCTTTTTTTCCCGCTTTTCAGCAACATTTTAGCGCTGTCACAGCATCTCTGTCATGTTTCTGTACCGCTAGCAATGCCACTACATATTCCGGATGCTTATCGCTGCTTGCCGAGAGCTTGCTCTTCTTCCGGGAAAACGCGCGCCTTGTCGTCCAAACGCTTATCAAGCGGCCGCCTGCTTACCATTCTCATTCAGCGCAACGTTTTATGCATTTCCTTGTACTTATGTTTTTCTTAGAGCTGCCGTTTTTTGTTGTTGTGGCGTTTGTCATGCACACGCTGGCATGCTGATACTGCCACTGTCACCGCTGCTGCTGCTGCTGTCATTATTGATGACAAGAAAATAAGCGCGCTGAGCTAAGTACGTTGCCGCGAGCATTCTTCTCTTCCTTCGGCACGCTTCCTTTGCAGCTTCTTCATACTAGAAGCGTCTTACTTCGGCTGCTGCTGTTCCTTTTTTTCCCATCCTCTAGAGCATTTGTCATTAAAAATCCATCTGCAGCATTTTCAAGTGCGCAAAGCAGCTGCTGAATCAGTCAAGTATACAAGATGAAGCAAAGCAAATTTTTCCACTTTCATAACTAACTTTGTATGCTGATACCCCGGGCGGAAATAAATTACCTGTTACTTCCATAGGAAAAAATAGTTTTGATTTTTATTTGAATTTTTGGTCGCTTATCAACACTAAAAATACTGCTTAGTCTTCTCGTTAAGAGTCAAAAGAGATCTACCCAATCACCTACTTTCTTCATTGTCCGACCATTATCTCTTTTGTGCTCGAAACGACCAAATATTTATGTCTTAAAGAATATTTTATATTTTACCGAAACTTTTTGAATTTATTCTTTTTATGTTTTATGGATTTTTAGGTTACTGCACAAAAACTATCTGGATAACGATAATATATTACTTTATTGTGTACTCTATTTGGGGATTTGTCTCTCATCTAATATATTGAAAAAGAGACCATATTCCAAACATCACTGAGAGAAAACGTCACCTCATCTTAGTGCTCTCATATGAAACTAAAACGAACCCAGATTTATATCCGACATATAACTATTCGATGTTTAATCCTAGAATTTTCTTTCGCTATGGAAAGGCCGGGCCTCTAGGCTGGCATTGATAAACCCTTATATACATTTTCTTTAAAGAAAAAAAATCTAAGTAAATCGATCAGGAGAATTTTATAAAGTAGATGTGCATACGATCTCATAATATCGGATAGTTTCCTGAAATCAATGCAGCGAAGTTGAGGCTGAAGTACGAACAAACCTAGAGCTCAACGAGTACACAAAATATGCCGCACTATTAAAACACCGGCTCGGTAAAGGATTAAAAAGATCATTATCTGGTTTGAAATAACAGTTATATAACTCAGCCGCGCCCCCCGTTCACTTATTTAGAGGTTTTCCTATGGTTTAAAAAGCAAACAGCATTTTCGGCACTTTTGTGTTCAAAACCTCTTAAAGTATGAAACATTCACACTTTCTTTAAAATAAAATAAAATTTTTTTTAACTCATTTTTTTTTAAATCTTATTCACTTTCTTTAAAAGTTTTCAAGGTTATGCGCTAATTGCATATTTGGGATTATGATTTTCAAAATATTGCCTTAAACTGTCTATATAATATTTTAGGTCTACTAGAAGCAATATATGTAGCCAATTGGAATAAATTGGATCCTTACTCTTGTAGGTATGGTATATAGAACAGAAGAAACTTATACCTAGCAAACAGAAATACATTATTATTGCATTAAATTGAAGACTTTATTTATTTAGCATAGTTATAAAGATGCGATTTAGGTCAAATATGCACCTTTTATGCGATAACTTGTTAACGTTTTGAATTTCGTAATGGCACTCTAATAAGAACCCTCGTTCTGATTGGCAAAAAACTGGCACAATTGATTTTCACTAGCTTCTCTGGAGGCGAATTTTTCACCAAGAAATCATTCGCCATAAACAGGAACAGATAGTAAACACTTGATGACAGCTTCAAACTATAAGGTGGATGCATAAGATTATTCCAACCAAGCCTCGGGCGCAAGCCTATCGATGTGTGTAATCTGGTGTTATCCTAATGGAATGGCCGCTTCTAGGCCATTGCTTCTTTCAGATGGTTCAAGTGTTGACGGTACAGGTCCAATTCTGGCTCACCTCGATTTGAACACGACCGCTTTCGCTTGACATTGGCGTAAATTACCCACTTTTCATTCATCACCAGTAATCATCCGCTTCAGAATTGAACCATTTTTGTTGTGAGTCAGCAGCGATTCGCAGATGGAAATTTGGTTCATAAGCAAATTTTCACTCTTTCTCAGAGTCAGTAAACAAACAACCTAGAAATTAGTTCACCTGAGATTGTAATAACAACGAAGTATTGTTTCAAAGCCAGCCAAGTAAGTCTTAAAAGGTGAGTTTCTTTAGTGTTGTAATTCAATTAGAGCATTGTTCTAAGCATTCCAACTGGGTGCCCGCATACATAAGAGATAACCTGAGCTAAACGAATGTGATGATATCTTCAAGCATGCATTCTTGCCATACATGCATATTATATTACGAACTGAAATCGCATGATTTTATATGCGAAATCGACAAATTTCATTCATTACTTTCATATATAAAATTCCTAAACGATAAATATCATTTATGAATGCGACATATATAAGTCAATAATCCGCAATTTATTGAAAACTACACACACATACATACAAATGTATTTACCAAATAGCTCAATAAGCTACGATAAATCTTTCAACAAATCATTTATCAAATATTTGGATTTTTATATTTAAATTCTTTCAAATTAGCGTATTGTGCGTGTATATACATATTTACGTTTAATAAAATTTTTGTCGTCATTTGCAGATTTTACCTTTTTCTTTTTTTGGTTTTTCGAGTTGTGCTTTGAAATTCTTTGTAACGGCAAGACATTGCATGTGGCACAGCCATAGAAAATTTGTTTGCTCTTCGCATTGGAAATTTGAAAATTTACATGCATATACACCGACGTTCATATGTGTGTTTACTGTGCTGGTTAATTATACCTTACAATACCTGTAAAATTTCTTGTAATCTCGCATATGCTTGGTTGGAAAAATCAGAAAATTTTTCGTCATCGATTCAAAAAAATCAATATTTGAAAATTTGTATACTTTTCGTGATTTTTCTTTTAATATTTATATAAAAAATAGTTTTTTAACATATCAAATTAAAAATGACCAGCAGCAACATTAACAAAATTATACGCAGCAATATCACATTAAAGGTGAGCTACGATGCACATGAAAAAAATATAATTTACAAAAAACAAAAAATATTTTATAATTAATACTGCGTTTTTTTACATTTCGATCTTTTGCAATTACCACCCGCTGTGTTTCTGTCGAAATAGCCGTGGATACTTTCGAAGAATACTTCTGAAATTGTCAATACCTGTATACAGAAAATTTACAAACAATCGCAAAACAACTTCAAGAATGGTGAGTTGAATGCGGGGATTAGGGTCTTAACGGACAAAACATCAAAAATTGGACATGTTAAGTCATTATTTTTGACTTATAACGGTCCTTAGCTGATGGTGATCGAAAAAAGTGTATTATTGGTATGATGGGAAAGCTCTGCGTCGTAAAGCATTTATTTTTCTACAAGAAAAAAGCTTGAAAAAGCTGTTAAAAGTTCTGATGAAACCTGGACATATTCGCTATTAACAGAATTTTCATCATGACTAGCTTTCCACCTTGCTATGTTGTTGTAACGATATAAAACATCAGATCACTTTATATCAGACTTTAGTTGATTCACGACGATTAAAAGTTAACGGATATAATCTAGTGATTTCAGGATCTCTAAATACAGATCTTAGCTTGTATCAAACTGTCATGGATTACTCTCTCTTAAATTAGTTTAAAGTTCGGAAAAGAATCAGTTCCCTTAAGATCACATTTTAGTTGATTGACGAGGATTTAAAGTCAGCTGAATACTATCTAGTTCTTCCAGGATCTTGATATATAGATCTTAGCTCATACTAAATCAACTCAGGTAATTTTGATACTCAGCAAATTAACGGGTCTAAGAAAGTTTAAGTTAAAGAGTGACCCATTATTAATATACCTAATCGTAAAGGTGTGTCTTCTACGGCGCGCGAAGTCTAAAAGTAATGCAAATTACAAAATCCACCTATCTCTATTCAACAAATAAGACACCTAAATTAAATGTCGGATATTTTTTACGGCATCCATATGTCGACCCAGCTAGTAGACAAAGCTTTTTCTTTATCATAAACCTTTTACAGGACCTATAACATAACCTAAACTCAATTACTAAACTAAAAGATTCGAAACTCTTTAACTCTTCAGCTTATTTTCAAGCCATTAATTGTGCTTCTACATAGTTTTCTTCAACGATGCAAATCTTACCTAACTGTAAAGATCTGGTTACTGATCGATGTCAGAAAAATTTCCTAATATAACTTTACGACTTCCGTCAGGACTATACTTTACAAAATATTATTTTCTAGTGCAAGATCTCGGACTTCGCACTAATTTTTCACATGGAAGGTGCCGTAGAAGAGGCAAAGGTGGCAAAATCGCCAAGCAAAGGCACTCAAGCAAGTCTAAAGGCCAGACTGACGTCAAGTCAACTTTTCGCTTTGAGGTTTGTTCACAGAACTAAAAGTCTTTAAGCTCCCTTAGACCTACTCCAATATAGATGTAGTATTAGAACTTAGCTTATAGAGGTAGAAAAGTGAGGTAGTCGTCGAGGCTACGAAAGAGGTAGTATTCGTATATATCTAACTCAAAAACTAGTGCAGGAAGCGAAGTGATCTCTACACTGTTTTAGGACACGACTTGGATCACATTACAACACAAATTCACTTTTCACTTCTGTTAACTTCTAGACCAGAATAAAATCGCCGCAGCGAAACCGGAGAACAGGGGACCCATCCGTGCACTCAAAATGCAGGAGCGCACACGTATACCGCTCAGTATAAATGTAACACGCAGCAAAAAAGGTGCTGCAGCGTCCAATGCAACAGGGACCGGCAGCGCTGCCGCGACGGCCGGTGGCAGCGGCGGAACTGCTGTTAACCCTGCAGGCGAACGTTTAGCCAGCAATGCGGCAGCAAACAATCGTCGTGGCGCCGTTGCAAATCTGTCTGCACATCGCAGATTGCTGAAATCTTCACCCAACTATAAGATCTACGGTTCACGACGCTTCGGTTCGAGTGCCAGCAGTTCGAATGCGAGCATCTTTCGGCGCAACGAAGAGCGACGACGTACCTCTACACAAACTGCGCAATTAAACTATTTACTACGCACTTATGCGACGCAAGCCAAAGAACGTAAAGCTTTTGCTATGAACTCAATTATGCCAAAGTTTATGGTATCGGCACGAAATCAACATATGGCCACACGCGCAACTACCGAATCGCTACCGGCACACGTAATACAAACCGCATCGGCCATACAGCGTGAGTTGATGCCCGTCAATAGTGTAATAAAAGATCGCATTGCACTCGGTCGCACGCGTACCAACAAAATGGCGATGCAAAAGCCGAAAAGTCAGGATCCCATGAGCGGTTGGCATCATCCGCCATCGCAGGAACTCTTCCAGTCGCGTTTCAATCAGCGCGGCATCGCCAACGCCGAACTGCAGGAGCAATATCGACGCATGAAGACCGCCAATAAGATGCGCCAGTTCGAACAGTTGCGTCAAATGGAAAAGCGTAATGCCATTTTGGGTAACGTGGGCAAGAAACCGGCGCGTCAGTATGTCTTGGAGGAGTTCGAGAATAAAATGAAGATTCCTTCTTCGAGCAAGTCGCCACATCATGCCGTACGCCATCAGACGCCGCAGTTCGAACACTCATATCTGGCACGTGTCACACGTCAACAACAAAGCGGTATCGTGGATACAGAAACAACGGCACTACTACCCATTAGCGATTCATCATCGGCGCCCACAAGCCCTACGACTACGTCTCAAGCGGCTAACGCTGCGCAAAACTCCACAGCGGTACAAACAATAGCCGAAATGGGTTATGCAACGAACGAATCCTCCACGCCAGCAACACTCAATGCCGCCGCTTCGGTCAACAGCAGCACGCCAGACGCGCCACTAAGTCTGCCGATGCCGGAAATTCCAGAACCTGATGGTTCGGTTACCGTACAAATCAATTCGCCCCTTGCGATCACCAAGAAGTCACCCACATCACAATGGGCAGGCAAAGCAGCGCAACACCATTACACAATGCGTTTCAACCATAGTGCACATTTAAAAAAATTTTGAGAGTACAAATGAAGACATGTCTTCGATAATACCCATTATGGATGTGTAAGATCAAGAGATCATTTTAGGAAGTGTAAGACGATGATTAACGAATAATAGGATATGAATATACACATATGTACTTCGGTATATATGTAGGTGTACGTAGAAGAACGTAGAGACAGATAAGAACCACTGCGTAGCATGGTAAATGTCAAGAAAAAGACTATAAAAAGAATAAAAACTAAACACAGACATGTAAAATCTTACGACACGATAACGGTATAGTAATCAACTTTTGTCAATATTGCTGTCTCTGTCACTCAATAAGTTTTTTCTCTCTTTTAGCGCTCGCATTGTTCTCACTCTCTTCTCTAATGTTGGCTCAGCAATTTGTTATGCGTAAATTTTCCATTGAAACGAGCAGACGATATAAATTAAATGTTCTCCATTTGGTTATTTATTTATTTCAATATTTTGGTGCGATAGTCATGTAGTAATGTTAGTAAGAATGTGCTCAGGCTGATCATTTGAAATGTTAACAAAAATTATTATACTTACATTTGATATAATCGCCGTAAATTGATATGTGTTGTTGCAGTGATTATAATAATTAAATATAATCATACGATTACAAAAGTGGTTCAAATTATGTTCCGTTTTCATTTTTAAGCTGCCACAAATTTTTCTCAAACGGAAGCAAATTTATTTCTTGACTCCCGAAAAAAATAAAAAAATATTTTGAATGTTTTTTTAATTAAAAAATTATTAAATAAGTTATCAGTTTAACTTTTATTTTAATATTTTCACCCGACGCACAGTATTTCTCATTCCCAATTTTCAAATAAAGTTGATAACTCGAGCAGTAGACTAAGACCTTTGTCATTGAAGATATTTAAGCCGTTACCAACGGGGATCATCAAAAGTGAGGACTTTAATCCATAGCATTAAGAACATTTTCGTTAAACTTATTCCTCACGACAATGCATTGAACCCACCGCAAGCCAGTTGCGGCCAAAGCAGGAGATCCAAAAAACAATACGAGTATATGGAACGCGACTAGACAACAGAAAACCTGATATCCGGATGCCAACCAATTATAAACAGCAGAGGTCTCTGGTGCCGTACCAACGCAGAAAAATCCGATGAGTTTACAACACCTTTACTTCTAACGAGTTTAGTTACCGTTCTAGGAATGCAGAAGTCAGCAACTTTTTGGAGCTTGCTTGTCAGATGGAGCTACCAATCGCTGAAATAGATACTGTAGAAGTACAGGTAGATATCAAAGCGTTGGCAAGCCACCGCGCAATGTCAGAATTGATACACTAGCGCTTAAAGCTTTTGCCACTGCTGGAGGAGAAACAACTCATTTCGGATCACCACTTTGGCTTCAGAAATATTCATGGCATAATTGGACCATAACACAGAGTAGAACACTTAAGAACTGATGACTTAGAAAACTGTAACTACTGCTCTGCAATTTTTCTTGATGTCCGTCAAGTATTTGAGAGCTCTACCTCAATTGTCGTTATGCTGAGTCGGATCTAAGATCCATGCGAGAGACCTTAAGACAGCTTACCCCTGTGCTCTACATCATATACACAGCGGACTTCCCAGTAATCAAATCTGACTACACAATTACGACAACCTACCTGGATGACACTGCACTGCTGGTGTTATTCGGAAATCATACTGGCACCTCTAGGAAACTGGAAACGCAATTGACGGCTCTAGAGCCATGGCTCAGCTCACCATTGTCCTTAATACTGAAAAGTCCATACAAGTGATGTACCATCTCAGGCACGATATGTGTCCACAAGTGGTCTTATATGGTCATTTGCTACAGTTGCATCGCGGGTTTACAATTGACAAGACGCGTAGAGGGAAAGAATAAAAATTCAAACAGCGGGAATCACTAAAATGGACTACTTTAATCCAAGGCTTGGGAACATTTTCATTGGATTCAGGACAGAAGGAATACCCACAAAAATGCTTATGACATTAAAGAGCTTGTCGGCATATAACGGCCAGATTATCTATGTTCTTTTAAATTCGAAATTTTAATGCAATAGCCTGCATTGCAACTAACTCTCGCTTTCCACTGTTAATACTCTAACCTTCCGACTGCCGACTCACAATCCAAACAAGCGTAAGTTTGTATGTATATGTCAGGCAGAGATGATGAATGTGCATAACTCTTTACTTTGCTGATTTTGATTAGATAACTGTGCTCAAGAGGATTGATTTTTTTCTCGTTGCGCACCGAACGCTGATCTTGGGAATGTAAATATTTTGACACGAAAAAGGCGCGTCTGTTAACGCAATTTGCTCTCGTGTTGACTTTTTAAATTTCATTCCAACATTTGCAGACAGACAAACGTACATATCTACTTACGTATAACCTATCTACTGAATGGTAATCTGTGCATGAAGATGAAATATAATATATTTACATACATGCATACGTACATGCTACTTCTTCACGGAAACACATTTTGCAGGAGTCTGGAAGAACAGCTACTAAATCAAATATTTTCATGTTGACATACATAGATATGTAAAACTGAGAGTATCTTATCTATGTCTTTTACTTGCTTAAGTGATTTTTAATGATTATGTATGCTTGTAATCGTAGTTGGCAAGCAACACGAAACGAATAAAAAATTGGTACTTAAATTAGAAAATTTTAGCAAAAAAATGTAAGTACCAAAATTTTATTAGTTTCGTTAGAAAAAAAATTTAAGTTCTTTAAATAAGAAATTTATGCTTTTAAAATAATCTATTCGATCGATTTGATATATCCGCGCACTATATGCTAGAACAAGTATAAAATTTTGTTGATCTTGGTATCATTAGGGAGGTTAAATTTAATATTAGCCTTTAAATTACCGTGACAGATAACCAAACCAATTTACTATTGCTTACCAAAAGACTATGTATAACATTAGTTACACCGATTTTTGAATATAATTCACAGATTTGGAAAACATGGTATCAAAATATTTTTTTTTTTTACTTAAAAAAATGTATGTTTGGACTTTCAACGCAATCTTCCTTTTTAGACTCGACTTAAACTTGTTAAAACTCTTGGCCTGTCGTTAAGAAACGCTTGGTTTAAATTTTCGTCCGCCATATAAACTGAGCCTGTAGACCTCGTGCAGATGACCGAGAGATAGACAAGCGTTGGGAGATCTAGTAGGTTTTTACATTGCAACAAACCTCTAAAACATAGTATATAAGAAAACTACTATGTTGTATTATATAATAATACATCTCCTCGAGACTCTAAAAAGTTTTAATTATTAATAGCTAAAAATTATAATAGAAGTAAATTAAAATACGGAAAAAGACAAGCTCTCTGTATATCAACTCACTAGTACCAACTAGAATGTAAAAAAACGAACGAGAAATATTAAACGAAAACCTTAGCAAAGAAACCGTTATAGGTTTATATTTATCCAAATTAGTGTTGACCGTAAGGTTCGTTGAATGAACTGTTTTGAGCAGTTATAGTTTTGGCACCATTAATTTATTAAGCGGTATACTCATTTTAGCAAAGAGAACACAAAACGTTGGGACAAAGTTAAGCCATCTTATAAAATGCATCTCGTCCAAGTCAATGACTTAACTCTGGATATAGCAGTAATCTAATTTTTAAACGGAACATAAAATATTTTACTATTAGCTAATAAAAGCAAAAACTCTTGTGCTGTAATATTCTTCAGTGCAGAATGCAGGTGTTCCTTATATCATAAAAGGGTGTAAAAAAGTGTATCTTGATTTGGTGATATCCAGTTTATATGACAGTTATATGCTATAGTAGACTGATATGAACAATATATTCGGAGATTGTACCTTTATCTTAGACAATAATCTGTTTCAAATTTCGTAAAAGATATTTTGTGAAATGAAAAAGTTTTTCCTAGAAGGACTTGGTTTTGATCAATCAGTTTGTATGGAAAATATATTCTATAGTAGTCTGATCTACTAAAAATCTACTACTCTTTAAATATATTTGAATGTTGAAGCGGTACCTGGACAATAATCTATGACAAATTTCCTAAAGCTATCTTGTCAAATAAAAAAAGTTTTCCATCCATGGTCATGTATTTGATCGTTCAGTTTGTATGACAGCTAATTCTATAGTGATCCGTGGTCGGATGAGCAGGTTCATAGATAAAAGAGCGTGCGCAAAATTTCAGAACGATATCTCAAAAACTGAGGGCTAGTCGCGCTTATACGAACATGGCTAAATCAACTCAGCCCTCCATGCCGATCATTTATGTATATATTTTATAGGGTAGCCGACGTTTCCTTCTGAGTGTTACAAACTTTGTGGCAAACTTAACAGAAGCTAATCATAGTTTTCGAGAAATTAGATAAATTTTAAGTATGATTTCATCACTCAAACTATATAACCAAATCAAATCAAGCTCAATAGTACAAAATAATTAAATAATACTTAACTTGCAATCACAACTCCTACCGTTATAAATCAATTTTTAGACCCAACAACTTATCTGACTTTACCAAATCTTCCTCAAGTACCAAGTAAAAAAGTATCGAAGCAAGATATATTAATAAACTATATAGTACAATTAAATTCAAAAATAGACAAATCTGTAACTGTAAAATGCAATTTTTTTGTATTACAATCGAAGTAAAAGCGAGGTTATAGCGTAATAAAGCATACGAAACTTCACCCAACCTCGAAAATATTTCAAAAACACACATAAGTAAGTATATGTATGGTATATGATTGCACCACCCTTGATTGTTGCCATCATGAACATAGTTGCGGTTCTTTTAACTGTAAAGAGCCATCAACCTTTGTGCTAAACAAACAATCAAGCCAACAGAGTGATGGACAAAAGAGCTCTATTTCATCCGCAAAAATCCTTCACATATGAATTTCGTATGACGAGACTTAAAAGCAATTCCACTTTTATGGTGTCAAATCAAATGAAATGAAAACTTTAAATGACCACATGAGTGCGGAAAGGAGCAGCGGTGCAAGGAGCAAGAAATTCTAGCAAGCTGCAACAATAATACAGCGTTAAAATATCATTTGTCACTGGAAAGGAAAGCTGCAGACGCGCACAGTACTGGTGTGTATACCGTATAGGGTTGAAAATATCTATTTTATATATTTTCGAAATCTAATGTTGAATTCGCAAGAAAAAAATTTCAAATATGTTAAACCTTCTTAAAAACTAGTTAGAATTTTATTTATATTAAAATTATATACATATATCATAAGATTTTCAACTGAACTATTTCGAAAACACTTTTTCAAAAGCAACTTTAAATTTCGAATAATATTTTTGAATACCTAAAATATAATTGCTTAAAAGTAGAACAATTGTTAACTAGTCATTGAACTTCAAAGCTATAATATACTAAGTTAAATTTAGTTTTAAGGGGCACAACTAATGTGAAATTTTAAAGAAATTAAATTTTTATATTTTTAGCATATTATGATAATCTATACCTTTAAAAATACCATACTAAAATTTGATATGAATATTTCAAATATTTTTTTAGTTACAAGCTTCTAAAGTGTAGCCGCTCAATTCAATAAGTTTAATTTTTTCGCGTTTTTCTCCCAACAACAATTTTCGAATTTGTTGCAGTGATTACTCGGAGACAAAT